GAATATTATGCAGCCATCAAAAGGAATGAGATCTTGCCATTTGCAACGACGTGGATGGAACTGGAGGGTGTTATGCTGAGTGAAATAAGTCAATCAGAGAAAGATATGTATCATATGACCTCACTGATATGAGGAATTTTTAACCTCGGGAAACAAACTGAGGGTTGCTGGAGTGGTGGGGGTGGGAGGGATGGGGTGGCTGGGTGACAGACATTGAGGAGGGTATGTGCTATGGTGAGCGCTGTGAATTGTGCAAGACTGTTGAATCACGGATCTGTACTTCTGAAACAAATAATGCAATATATGTTAAGAAAAAAAAGAAGAAGATAGCAGGAGGGGAAGAATGAAGGGGAGTAAGTCGCACGGGGAGACGAACCATGAGAGACGATGGACTCTGAAAAACAAACTGAGGTTTCTAGAGGGGAGGGGGTTGGGGGGATGGGTTAGCCTGGTGATGTGAATTAAAGAGGGCACATTCTGCATGGAGCACTGGGTGTTATGCAGAAACAATGAATCATGGAACACTACATCAAAAACTAATGATGTATGGTGATTAACATAAAAATTAAAAAATTTTAAAAAAATAGCTCTACAAAGTGGTATATAAACCCAAGGGACTAGTGACCTTGTGTATGTTGTAAGAGAATAAATGTGTCAGAGAAGGACTGGCAGAAGTTCAAAGAAACTAACCCCAGTGGGTCATTCCAGGAGAAAGAGGGATATATGTGCACCAATATTCCCTGGCCTCTGTAATCAAGAGGGTCCTAGTGCTGTCTTGCCTTGTGTTTCTGGCCCAGACACAGCCCAGACTCTGATCCAGGTGGAGTTGGGGTTTTCATATTTCAGTGACCCACATGTGCACACAGTGGGAAACCTGTGTGACCCTCTCCCACATATGTGAAAACAGTCCTTGCTGCATAAATGATATCCTTTGATGACTTTTACTGGATCCTCTTGTGATAGTTTTGGTGGGGTTGGGGGACAGGAAAGGAGGCAAGGATGAGGCCAGGTGAGGGTGCTCCCTAGCAAGCCTGTGCAGTGGCCACATGTTGTAATGGAACATGCCCCGGATGGAATTCAGAAATTCCTGTCTAATGTCTGCTCCTACCTGGCTGTGTGGTCTTGAGCAGATTTCTTCCCTCCTCCATGGGCCTCAGTCCCAATATAGAAGGGCCAAGCTCTGTGCCTGTGAAGGCCCTCGCCAGCCCTCCATTCCATGGTTCTATGACGTAATCTCCTGATAATCTAGGAGGAATCCCATATTGTCACTGGAATAATGGTTCAGGGGATCTCTGGCAAAAGTCTCAGAGCTGAGCCTGGAGCAGAGACACACAGACATGGGATCTAAAGGAGGGAACCTCTGTAGTGTCTTCTCAGACACAGAAGTGAGATTTCTCACTGGATACCAATATGCCTGTGCCCTCCATCTCCCAGGTGTCTGGCTTCTCACTTCCTCCTACTTCTCTTCCACAAAAAAGGAGGGACCCAGATTTTGACCTTGAGTGTCTATAGTTTCTGATCAAGGACAGCTCCCAGGATGTGAGGACACCTGGGCCCTGCCTTCAGGGAGCAACATGTCAAATTGGGTACTTCCCCTCTGGGTCTCCTGGTCAGAGTTGGGGTGCCACTGACTTGAAATCTTGGTTTGGTTCATGCACTCAGCGGCACAACTTCAAACATGTAACTCATGTCAGGATTCACTGATGCTGGTGCTATTAGGGACCTTAAGATAATCTAGTATATGGTTTCTGACTGTCCAGATGGTAAGTCCTGAAATTGAGCTAACCAGAGGATTGCAGAGAGCTTTTAAAGACCAGAAGGTCTTCCTAAGAAGAACAGCCCATTAGGCCAGATGACTCAGATATTGCTTTTTGTTGAGGCAGGGGCCAGACCCCATGACATGTTTTAGTCCCCTCCACCTCAGAGATGACATTATTCTGAATCTGTGATTCTGTATTCTGTGAATCCATGATTCTCTCTACCTATTACCCTGTGAGTCTACCAGACTATTATTGCATGAATCCATAGGTCTCTGTTTCTATGAGCTGTGTCCAAAGAGATAAGTGGGACCTTTTGGGGATAACCCTGTGACTCACCCTGGCACTTGTTCCAGTCATCTGACTTCTCCACACCTCAACTTCCCAGCCTATAAAATGGGTGGGGCACAGCCAACCCACGTGTTTTGGTGGCACATGGAAACAGTATCTCTCACCAGAGATATTAGTGCTGTCTGAAGATGTTATACGCATTAGTGACAGCATGGCCCCACAGAGTAGGAAGTGAGACAATCAGAGCTCACGGATGGCACAAGGTGCACAGATTGGCTAATAGTAGGATGGCCATTGACCACATGGAGGAAGGAGGTTGGTTTAGGCTGTACTGTCAGTGGAAAGCACCCTCATTCATTCAATCATTCATTTATTGGTCTAATTAGTGTTCCCCAGGTCCTGTGCCAGATGATATACAGTGAATGTGTCCACAGTTATCAAGGCACAGAGATTATGGTCTAGTTGGAATAACTCCATGGACATTGAGGATACAAATACACTTCCTTTGTAGAATAAGCCCCTTACAATCATAGAATATCACAGCCAGGAGGGGCTTCATTGACTATTTTATGGTGGAAGAGAAAAAGCCTAGAGATAGAAGGGCACAGTGGGGGGTGCCTGGGTGGCTCAGTTGGTTAAGCAACTGCCTTCAGCTTAGGTCATGATCCTGGAGTCCCAGGATCGAGTCCCACATCGGGCTCCCTGCTCAGCAGGGAGTCTGCTTCTCCCTCTGACCCTCTTCCCTCTCGTGCTCTCTATCTCTCATTCTCTCTCTCTCAAATAAATAAATAAAATCTTAAAAAAAAAAAGGGCACAGTGGGGCCACACTGTGAGGCAAAGGCAGAATCAGAACTAGGCTGAGTTCTCTTTGTGCCTTGAACTATCTCTATCTCGTTTTGCTGACATGCCTTAAAATGGTTGGCCTTCTACGACATTTTCTTCCCTTATAGCGTGAGGTTGTCCCATCCTACGTCTGAGATATAGGGACTTCTTAATGTCTGTGTCTGTTGGTTGGCTAAAAGCTATGGTTCCTAAAGCATCATGTATTTCAACACTAAAAACAGCATGTTGTGGCAGAAAAAAAAAATTGAAGAATAAATCTGTGTTCAAATTCTGGATTTACTACTTCTAGCTATGTGAGCTTGGGCAAGTTTGTTTTTTTATTTAAATTTAAGACACTATTATGGAGACTAAATGTGATGAGCTAACCCTGTGATATATATGACCCCAATAAAAGATCATTCTTGTCCCATTCCCATCATAAAACATCAGGCCTGGGTGCCAGCTGAGGTGGGACACAAGAGAACAGATAATGGAACAGCCTAAAACCACTTCCACCATCCCCTTTAGGACAGGACTGGTGGGTTTCACAGATGAAGCTATGGAGTGCTTCATCCAATACAGGAATGATGGGGGAAAGCAGGAAACTTTCTAAGTCTGGGACAGAATCTCTCCCTTGCTTTCTCCAATTTGTTCAGGGGCAGACCCTACAAGACCTGGCTTGAGCTAGGGAAGTGTGTGTGGACTAGTGGGGATTTGTCTTTGTTGAGGAAATTTGGGAGCTGTTTATGGTCCTGGAGAAATTGGGATCCGTTATGGACAAATGCAGAAGCATCTTTTCGTTAGAGGTTATGGGGCCACCCTGGGGCCTGCACGAGCTGATATGAGGGAGTGGTAATTTGCAACCAAGGCTCAGCTCAGGATCAAGATACCTTTCTGCATTGGGCAACCTGACATGGATCAGTGAGAAGAGCGTGGGCTCTGAAACTAGACAGGCTTGGGTTCAAGTGATACTCCATTGCCTACCAATGGGACTACCTTGGTGAAAAAGTTGGGCCTCTGGGTCTTAGTTTCCTTGTCAAAATAGGGCTAGCATAGCCTACCTCACAGGATGTGCTTAATACATATTATTCCCATTTCTTTTGCTGTATTTACTGCATTGAAGAAAGGGAAGGAGGCAGATATTCAAGGACAGTGCTATGTCCAGAAATAAAAGGCAACATGTTGTAGCAATAAAGACCATGGTTTATGAAAGTAGACTGCCTGCATGTGAATTCGAGCTTCTTACTTAATTGCTTTGTGAGAATGGGTAACTTCCTTAATCTTTAAGGGCCTCAGTTACAGGGGCATCTGTAAATGTACATCCCTTATGAACTGTTGGGCACATATGTAGCATTCAGTTAAATGTCAGATTCTACTATTATTGTTATCACACAGTGTTCATTTGGCTGGAATTCCCACTATGCTGGGTTCTTGGGGATCTAGGCCTGGTAGTAAGGTCTAGAAAGGTGAGGATGGGGAAGTTATGTGGCATGCAAAGCTGAAGATGTGGGTCATAGGGCATGAGAGGCTGAGGAGAGACAGCCTAGATATAGAGCCTGAGGTCTGAGATCATTAAGCACCCACCCAAATTAACAGAATAACCTGCCACTCCATGGAACTAACCTGGAGTTCTTGGGGGGCCTTGTTGCCATACGGAGGCAGAGACCACTAGGCCCAGCAACCCAGACTAGCAGGAGACACCATGGAGCCCCTCAGAAAGAATACACTATTTAGGCTGAGGAAATGCACCGTCTAGCTTTTGGCCCAGGGTATGAAAAATTGAGATGCCAACTATATTTTGAACAAGTCTTTGAAGAGTCAAGTGACCTAGAAACAGCTTCGTAGGTACAGATCTCATAGGCATCTCACCTCTCATAACTTCTAGAAAAAGAAGAACTGACTTGTTTCATGAAGAAGGCCAAAGGAATCATTTATCTCGTGTTCGGGAAAATTCAATGTCAAGCAGAGACATGCCTGGCCCCTGAGTGAAGAGCCAGGCATTCTGGGGAGGAATCTCACCAATGCAGTGCCAGCCCCAGTCCTCGTGACCTCTCCTGTTTCATTCAGATGCCATTAACTTGCCTCATTGCCACACTATAAAAGGCCTCCCCAGTGGCCGGCTCCTCAGATCCTTGGCTTCTCCCCACCTTGCTCCTGTCAGCAAAGAGGGTAAGTCTATGCCTGGGTTAGGGACACAAAAAGGAAGGAGAGGTGACACTGGGATGGGATGAGGACAGTGAGGACTAGGCATGAGTGTGGCTGCTGAAGGAGCTGGGGCAGAGTTGGTGGGAAGCACGGAGGCTGGGGCCTGAGGGGGAGAGGCAGAGGTATGGAACTGGAGCAGAGCTGTTGGTCCTGTGTGAGAAGGGTTCTTCAAAGAACCACCACTCTCCCCGCGTGCAGTTGTGCAGCCCTCTCATGGGTCCATTTATGGGGTGAAGTGATAGTCCAGCTGGCCTGAAGAGCAAATGGTGGAAACTCAAACTCCAGCCTTGTCAGGCTCTGTGAGGCTCAGCTTGAGACTCACAGTGGCTCCTGGTCTACTGATAAGAACTTGCTTTCCCTGGGTACTGCCTGGCCTGGCAGGAGGGAATAGGGAAGCCAGTCTTGAGAGAATTTGGCGATGAGGGGAAATCAGCTGGGAAGAAATTTCCCAAGGAGAATCAGCAATACAGGAACCAAAGTGAGTAATAAGAGAGGAAGCTTGGAGAACTGGGTGGAAACAGACATCACTCATTCCAGCACTTCATTTTCCACTGTGGAAACTGAGGCACACAGCCAGGCATAGGCACAAGAGCCAAGCAAGATCCCTGGCTCTGGGTCCAGCTTATGTCAGGTCTGAGTGCCTGTGACCTCAAAAAGTTCCTGCTTACAGACAATTCTATTCATATGTGATGCTGGGGTTTCCCTGGAAACCTTCTTAGTTCTGATGAGACCTTTCTTTTCAGATTTTGCAAAGCCACAGGAAGATGTGTGACCAGCAGAAGCAGCCACAGTTCCCCCCATCTTGTGTGAAAGGTTCAGGATTGGGAGCTGTACAGAGTACCAAATGTACCTCTGTGAAATGCCCAGCTCCATCCCAGACTCAAGCCTGTGTGAAATGCCCAGCTCCATGCCTGACTCAAACATATGTGAAATGTGTAACTCCTTGCCAGACTCAAACCTATGTGAAATGCCCAGCTCCATGCCCGACTCAAACCTATGTGAAATGCCAAGTTCCATGCCAGACTCAAACCTATGTGAAATATGCAATTCCTGGCCAGATGTATGTGAAATGCCCAGCTCCATCCTATCTGAAATGCCCAGCTCCTTGTCAGACATACATGAAGTGCCCAGCCCCCTGCCAGACCCAGGCATGCTATGGCCAGGGCCCTTCTCCCGGCCAGACCTACTACATTCAGGCTCCTGCAAGTAGCTCGACCACCTCATGCCATGTACCTGATCCATGCTCTGCACCCTGTTCCACCAGCTACTGCTGCCTGGCTCCCCGGACCTTCGGGGTGAGTCCCCTAAGACGCTGGGTCCAGCGACCCCACGACTGCAGCTCAGGATCATCCGGCTGCTGCGAAGATTCTGGGTGCTGCAGCTGTGGGGGCTGTGGTTCTGGGTGCTCCTGTTTGGGGATTATCCCCATGAGGTCCCGAGGTCCTGCATGCTGTGATCGTGAGGATGACTGCTGCTGTTAAATACAGAACAGCCCTGCTCTGGAACATTCAGCAGCCTCTGGTCCCCTCTCTGTATTCCCAGTGATGTAGAATCTCATTGCTTCACCACATACTTTGCTTCTCTATGAAGGCAGCCTGCCAGAGTTAGCACGCGCCACAAACTTTGGCAAGAATAAAGCTCTGAAAGCAATTCATAGAGATGTCCTGTCTTTTTGGTCCATATTTATGCTTTTCTATCAGAAACTCTTCCTCTCTTCTTCTTGCTTCTCAACAAGAGGAAGGTCTGCGTGGACCAAGCTGGTACAATCCCAGCCTGGGATCCCTGAGCATTCTAGAATGCCACTAATAAACTTCCCCATGCAAGTTAGCTAGAGATTTTAGGGTCAGGAGATGCTTTTTTCCTGTCCTCTGATGAGTGTGAGGAGAGGGTTTGGCTATGCTGAGGACTTCATGGTAGCATGATTGTTATATGTGAAGTCAGAGTTCAGCTTCCTGAATGTTGAAGGGTCTGTGAAATCAGATCTGTTCAGGTGCCTCATGATGATGCCCCTGCTTCTGTGGGAGGGGCTCTATGGATTCCATTTTCTCATCTGATGAGTTTGCCCCCCTGAGGCCCCAGAGTAAAGACCTGAGGGAAGGGGTGAGGACTCACCTGAGGCAGGTAGAAATTCTCCTTGTTAGCCAGGGAGACAGCCCTAGTAGTGAGGGAGAGGTTGCCAAGAGGAAGGTGAGCCTCTTGGCACAAGTGTCTGGGTCTGGGCCAGACTCCCTTCCTTATTAGCACTTCCTCTTCCATTACTTTGCTAACCCCAGGGGTTTGGGGTGGATTTTTATAGCTAGAGACTGTAAACTCACACAGTAAAAAAGAAATAGGTAGGGGTAAGTGCCATTCGAAGCAGGCCCCCAAGCCCTGGTGCATGAGCAGAGGAGGCAGCATGTTTGGTGAATAATGTAAATGAACATTCCAACAAAAACTGGGTACTTTGAGTTTGTTTCTAAGCAACCTCTTTCAGGTTACCCTGGGACACTTGTGGGAGTGTCATCTGGACTACTGTGCTGCCTTTGAACATCTAAGTCACCCATGATCCCCCAAATCACACTCCATCCCTGGAGCCAAATCCATTGCATCCAGATCACTGGGCATCATGATCTCCTGTACCACCGAGTGGCTCCGGCAATGTTGGAAGTCTATGTGCTGCTCCCTCAGCAATGAATCTGGGCATGCAATGCTTTTATATTTATTAATTAAAAATTAGGTAAGTAGCACGAGCTTTGTAAACATTTGAATAGTACAGTTGATGTTTGAACAATGCAGGGTAGGGGTGCCACCCCCCCAGTCTAAAATCCACACTTTTGACTCCCCAGAAAGGTAACTATTTAATAGCCTACTGTTGACCAGAAGCCTTACTGATAACATAAATAATCAATTAACACATATTTTTATGTTATGTGTATTCTATCTATACTGTATTCTTATAATGAAGTGAGCTAGAGAAAAAGTATTAAGAAAATCATAAGACAGAGGGGGTGGAGCAAGATGGCGGAGGAGTAGGAGACCTAGATTTCGTCTGGTCTCAGGAATTCAGCTGAATAGGGATCAAACCATTCTGAACACCTATGAACGCAACAGGAGATCAAAGAGGAGAGTAGCAACAACTATCTGAACAGAGAAGCGACCACTTACTGGAAGGTAGGACGTGCAGAGAAGTGAATCTGAGGCGATATTCGGGAGGATAGACGGTGGGGGAGGGGCCTCCGCCGGCCGCTTCTGGCAAGTGATAGAGCCGCGGAGCACAAAATCGGAACTGTTAGAAATCGGCTCCGCTGAGGGACACCGCTGCAGTGGCTAAGCTGGAGGTGGAATCCTCCCAGGACAGTGGGGTCTCAGGACCCTTGGGGTCACAGAAAGACCGGGGGAGCCTGAGTGCGCCAGAGCTCCCAGGTATCGGAGCGGGGAAGCCGGCTGCAGAGACGGAGCTGAGGCGCGGGCTTTCAGCTTCGGGTTGCCATAAACTGTGATCCGCGGCCCAGTCGGGCCACTGCTCCTGCAGCAGGGACCCAACAAGCGGCAGATCCGGGGAGACTCCCCTTCCTTCCCGGGGAGGAGTGGCTCAGAAACGCACCGCAGGGATCTGCTGGGTTTGGAGACTCCACACGGGGTCGGGTGCCAGAGATAGAAATGCTCGGTCACAGGCCAGGTGAGCACGGAGTGCGGCCGGAGACCGGGGACAAAGGAGTGACTGCTTTTCTCTGGGGGCACACTGAGGAGCGGGGCCCTGAGTTCTCAGCTCCTCCGGGTGGAGATTGGGAGGCTACCATTTTTGCCCTGGTCCTCCAAGGCTGTACGGAGAGCTTGCAGGAAACAAAAGCTCCTGAGATCAAACCCGAGTGGCTTGCTTAACCCGGACGACAAGGGCGGGGCAATTCAGCCTCCGGCAAAGACATTTGGAAACCACAGCAACAGGTCTCTCCCCCAGAAGATCAGCACGAACAGCCAGCAAGCCAAGACCAAGTTTACCGATCAAGGAGAACGGGAGAACTCCAGCGCTAGGGGAATACTGCACATAGAATTCATGGCTTTTTTTTACCATGATTCATTAGTTCATCAAAGTTAATTTTTGTTAACTGTTTTTTTTTCTTTTTCCATTTTTCAAGCAACATCTTATCAATCTCTTTAAAAAAAAAACATTTTTTATTTTTCATTTTTAGAGTCATATTTTATCCCTTCATAGTAGTTACCCTTATTTTTGGCATATATATATAAGTTGTTCTCTCTTTAAAATTTTGAGATACAGTTTCTTCTAACAGATAAAAATATACCCTAAATCACTAGTGTATGGCTCTGTTCTAGTCTCCTTCCTGATCACATTCTCTCCCTTTTTTCTTTTTTTTTTTAAATCTTCTTTCTTTTTTCAAATAACTTCTTATCTTATCAAGTCCTTTTATAAAATCTTTTATAATTTTCATCTTTACAGTCATCTTCTATCGCTTCATTGTATCAACCCTTGTTTTGTACATATATGTCTTTCTTCCTTTAAAATTTTAGGAGGCACTTTTTTCTAACAGACCAAAATACGCCCAAAATCTAGTGTGTGCCACTGATCTACACACTAGCCTGATCATATTTGATCACATCCTGCTTTTTTTGTATTGTTCTGTTTTTGTTTTTATCTTTTTTTTCTTTTTTTTTTCTCTTTCTTTTTTCTTTCTTTCCCTTTCTTTTCCCCTGGTTTCTGATTTGTATACAATATATTTGCTGGGGACGTTGTAAACCTGTTAGCATTTTGTTCTCTCATTCATCTATTCTCCTCTGGACAAAATGACAAGACGAAAAAAAATCTCATTCATCGATTCTCCTCTGGACAAAATGACAAGACGAAGCAAAAAGAACAAGAGGTAGTACCATCAACCAGGGACCTACTCAATATGGATATTAGTACGATGTCAGACCTAGAGTTCAGAATCATGACTCTAAAGAAACTAGCTGGGCTTGAAAAAGGCGTGGAAGTTATTAGAGAAACCCTTTCTGGAGAAATAAAAGAACTGAAATCTAACCAAGTCGAAAGCAAAAAGGCTATTGATGAGGTGCAATCAAAAATGGAGGCACTAACTGCTAGGATAAATGAGGCAGAAGAGAGAATCAGTGATATAGAAGACCAAATGATGGAAAATAAAGAGGCTGAGAAAAAGAGGGAGAAACAACTACAGGATCACGAGGGCAGAATTCGAGAGATAAGTGATACGATAAGACGAAACAACATTAGAATAATTGGGATCCCAGAAGAAGAAGAAAGAGAGAGAGGGGCAGAAGGTATATTGGAGCAAACAATAGCAGAGAACTTCCCTAATGTGGGGAAGGAAACAGGCATCAAAAT